CAAGGAGACGAATCTTCGGGTTGAGGGGCAGCGGGCCGTTTTCGGTTCCTGTTACGGCTGTAGAAGTAGAACAAGAGGTGGTGAGCAATTAAAACGCCAGGGGGAATGGAATACTGTGTGAAAAGTAGAGTTTTACGTTTAGCAAACGGCAACAGACTGTTCTGAATAACCAAAAAGTGAGGATCCGATCGTTAAGCAAGTGTGCGCCACAGCAATTTTGTTGACATAGAACCTCTCTAATACCACCGTTTCAAAGAAGGCAAAAAAATATCTTATCGGTTGAATTGAGACCTCTAAGGAAAGTAGCTAAGCTTATGGCTCACTAAGTTTCCTAGGCATGACGGTCTCTAAATTTCCTCAAAAATGGGACTGATTCGAAGAAAGGATGAGAAGACCATCCACAGCAGAATTGAGTGGCTTATTTCCACCCATCTAAACCAGCTGTTTCGTCACATTCGGTATGCCTCTGCCGGTGGAATAAGACGATCGAAAGCCCAGACCATCAATCAAGCATTAGGTTCTTCTGTCTGGTTTAATATACGATAATTCCAGTCCGCAGTCCTCACAAAACTTCCACATAGTGTTCTAACACTTATAAACACACCCTAATTCCTTAAACAATGTGCTGTACACTGTACTATATGCTCTTATATAAGAAAAATATAATAAATAAGCGAAACCCCGCGAAATATAAAAAGCAGTGGAACGTATTCTAGAGGGAAAACCTGCCAAATATCAAGTCACCGAAAATCCAACCACGAAGCGCCAAAAGGTTTCTTCTATAACTAAAATTAAAATCCTCTTTTACAGTACTCGCAACCACCAACTCGAGTGTGGTTATTCACCGTGATTTTCGATGACTTCAGGCACTGCCCGAAAGCTAAGACCCACTGCATACAAAGCCGAAATCTCACCTCAACGGGAGGTATTCTTCAAAGACGCAAAATGGTAAGGATCCGTCTATTTTTGGTAAAGTGATTTTGTGAATGCAACTCACCTAGTTGTCATCATCCACTATAAAATATTTTCTTTCATCCGCTGCCCTGAAAAAAATTGTATCGACCTACGCAAAATTGTCAAAATGTCGGATACAAAAGAAAACGCTGCATTTCAGAGACTAGTTGGGATTCTCTTTTAAGTCTACGACAGGCTAGGAAACGACGAGGATTGAGAGCCACACAACGTTCAACAATCATTTCCCTGGTTGTGGAGTCCACTAAAGTCATTTCGAAAAAGACTAACTTTGGGTTAAGAAATTTTGCCAGGGCACGGCGATGGTCATTATGTGGTACTGTGAACGTCTATTTTTCATCTAAAAGTTTTCAAATTGTGCAGCTTGAAGTTCAATACCAAACTGTACAGTTATAATCAGAAATAATTTGCACAACATGCAACCTTAGGTTGAGCTAAGGGCGAAAGTGTCTTTAAAGGGTGCAAAATTGGTATGAGTGGCGAGGTTTCCTTTCATGATACAGTCGAGCTTGGGAGGGGAGACGAAAGACATTAGACGCACATACCCGTTTTTCCCTGGTTCAATGACAAACGCAGACTGGCTGAACTTCAACAGTGCATCAGCGAGTTCGACAAGTGGCAGCTTACAGGAGCTGTTTGATTGTGGTTTTCCTGTCCGAAGAAGCACCTTCAGGGCAAATGCGTGGGCGCGATAAAAAACCTAGAAGAAAAATTGACAGAAGGTGGAGTTGACCCTACTTTAATGAACCGATTTAAACTATTGCTTTTTCTCATTAATAAAAGTTTAATTTTTTGCTTCAGTATGGCAGAGATATGATTTTGCAGCAGATAAACATTTCTAAATGGGTTTGTAAAACAGATAGTTACTTTCAAGGAAAGACGTTCTTTGGGAAAATAAGGTTATTTTATTTAGTAAATTTTCGACGCTGGATTCCCAGATCGTCGTAAGACTTGATAAGATGTGCAACGAGCAATTAAAATTGCAAAAGTGCTAGTTATCTGCTGTGGGCGCTAATTGACAGCTGCAACTTGCGTCACTCTATGGTGGACAAAATTAGTAGTCGTTTAGTGTAATGGCTAATTGACAACTGTAACTTGCGTCAGTCCGGGTCATCCGGTGTAGGCGCTAATTCGTAGTTGCGGATCACGTGAGTCCGTAGTGATCGGCTGTCGTCTCTTCCATCTTTCTTTGAGATGTTTGTACACTCCATCCAACTCGATACGTCGGTTGATACATGCACCATCGGAGTACTTGACCTCAAGAAATCATAGGCCTTCTTGGATGGACAAACTCAAACGATGTGTATTTTGTCCCATGCAAAGGTGTGTCCTGTATCAAAGCAATGCATAGCCACTTCGGACAAATGATCACGTCTCTTCACTGTCAGTTGGTGCTCGTGGATGCGTGTGGAGACGCAACTTCCTATTCTGATGAAGAAACCTACCGAGTCGAGCCCAATTATCTGTCTGATTTGTTTTCCCGCAATGGTTAACCCAGAGACTTTGTACACCTATGCATGAAACAACAACCATCCAAAAAAAAGGAACCAGATACTTTCACTCAGGCACTCAAAACAAAGACATGGCGAATCCTTTCTTACAGAAGGAATGTTGAAAGGCACTTGCGGACGTACCAAATAAAAGTGGCGTACAAACTGATGGCCACTTCACGTACCCAGCTTCTACACCCTAAGGATAGGGTTGGCTACCTTGATAATAAAGAAGTCATCTACAAGATCCCATGCGAAACTTGTGATACCGTATATTGTGGCCAATCAGGAAGGTCCGCCTCTACACGCATCCACGAGCACCAACTGACAGTGAAGAGACGTGCTCACTTGTCCGAAGTGGCTATGCATTGCCTTGATACAGGAAACACCTTTGTATGGGACAAAACACGCATCGTTGGAGTTTGTCCCTCCGATGGTGCATGCATCAACCTCTGTGTAGGGTTTGGTGGAGTGTACTAGTATCTCAAAGAAAGATGGAAGAGACGACAGCCGATCACTACGGATTCATGTGAACCGCAAAAAGTAATTAGCGTTCACACCGGATGACCCGGACTAACGCAAATTACATTTGCTAATTAGCCATTACGCTAATACAACTACTAATTTTGTCCACAATTGACTGACGCAAATTGCAGCTGCGTCCACACTTGATGGCCAGCACTTTCAAACTTTTAATTTTTCGTTGCACATCTTCTCAAGTCTGACGACAATCTGGGGATCCAGCGTCGAAAATTCAGTGAATAAAATTACATTATTTTCCTAAAGAACGTCTTTCCTTGAAATTACATTTCTTGGGATGCCTACCTTCTAAGGTATACACCAGATGTTTAAGTCTGATAGTAAAAGACTTTAGAGAATGTCTACAAAAGGTTATACTTGCTAATGGTTACTGTAAATATTTTTGCGTGTTCCAACAATTAGGTGATTGACCGAAAACGGGGTGATTTCACTGGGAGACTTTTCGAGACATCAGAATATAAGTAGGAAAAAACTCTTACTGCAGACCATCGTCAAGGATAAAAACGGCAATAAAACAAGCGGTAATTAATACAGACAGGAACCAATCAAACATGGATGATACAATGGTGGTGACTGCACGGGCCTCAGTAGACCAGCACCAGATTTATACATCGATTGAGCGAGTTCCCATAGAATTGGACTCCAATCAATTCGGGGCTTACCCTTCTTCTGGCGTGGGCGATAAGTCTCACGCTGTATTTATTTAATTTCCGAGGAAATGTATGCGCAAACATGGAGTAAATGCTTCGGAACAGGCCGTTTCAGGCTCAGTCCGAAACTTGATTTGAATATTTGAGTTGAAGTTCACTAGCTACTGGTTTATAACCGTGGCTGCTAATTTTAACACACAACCTCTTTCGTAGGAGTGGGCAGCAGCCACTTGTCGCAATCCGTTACCGCGTCTCACAGCCAGATTATGTTCGTGTAGACGCGATCCGAGCATGCGTCCTGTCTGACCTGTGTAGTTACAAGAACGGTTTGAGAGAGATTCCGGCTTTCGAATAGCCTTCGCTTCAAAATCAGAATACATTTCTCAAAAATTTCCTATTAACCGGCTTTTTCGCAACGGGTTACAGTGTTTTTCGCTCTCGGGATACAACTCATGTAGCGTGTCAGTTAACAGGGGCTTGCTACAAATTATTGTAAGTTCGAGTTTTAGTGATCGTGTCTCATTTTTCTGCAACTACTCCTGGAACTCGCCTCTTGGCTTCTATTCAAAATATGCGCTTGAAGATTCCGCCCAGTGTTCATTTTTTGGTGTAACTGCTACTGTACGCGTTTACCCTGACGCATAGTAATAAGGTTTAAATCCCCTGGGGAAAACAGATTTATGTGTGCCCAATTTTGGTTGAGTAACGGACCAACATTCCGGACGTCTGTATCAAAGAGACGGAAGGTGATGGGTAGATAATTAAGTAGTCGGGTTGTAATGTGCATTCAGGTGAACCCGCATTGAAGGGCGCCATCGATGCGAGATTGTATATTTGACCAGTTGACGACTAGACAGGTGTCCGGGAACTAACGGCCCCTCATCATGTGTGCCAGGACAAAGTGTGCAGCTATGGCGGAAGTAGTCTCACAAAAAGCCTACCTCTACGGCCTCCACGGCGAGATAGGGCAGTTTATTATAGACGACGATTTTGCGGGGATACTTAGCTCCGGCAGCCTGTAGAACGTCGGCGGTATGTTGGTAGCAGGAGACTATGCGCATCACCCAGTCGGCGTACGATTCCAGGCTGGAGTTCTGCTCGAATG